CACCCACCCACACACACACCCACACCCACACCCACACCCACACCCACACAGGTAGAGAAAGAGAGAGAAACCTTCCTTTGTATATTTATAAAGCCGACAACCGCGACTGCGATGTAGAGAAAGAGACGTATTAACCATCACGGTTTAATCGGAGCTGAAATATTGCTAACAGCAGCCGTTTGTGCGAGGTAGAGAAACGATGCAATTTTGTGTCCAATTTACGTCTACGGTCGCAGATAACGCAGAGGCGATCATCCAGCGGTGCATCGGTCGTTCTAATTCCAACGGAAATGCACGTGGTTATTAGCGTGTCCGCGGCGTGACCCCGTTAAGAAGCCGCAATTTTAATACACCTACAACCGGCCGACGACAACAGACTGCGTGGTATATTACACCGCGGTTAAAAGCAAAGACAACGACTGTTCTGTCCCCGTTTCGCCATCGGTAAGGCGATACCGCGCTGCCATGTAGAGGACTATCAGCGAGAACAAGACTCGGTGGTAGTAAAAAAAAAAAAATTGCTTCGAACGCAGTTAGCTGCAGTTACTCCCTTACCTCGTTCCCAATTAGAATGGAAGTTTTAATTGCGGAAGCCTGGGGTCAAGGTTGATTTAATATAAAATCCAATTATATTAACTCATAACCGACGTACGGCAGCGCGAGATTTTTATGCGTTATAATATAAAAACAATGTTTCTTCTTCACCTCTCTTCGAGCGTTCCTAACGATTTTAGCAAAAATAATATCTTTTAAACCTGAGACACAATTGAAAAACACAAGTAATAGAAATAGGAAGTAACAGACTTCGGTCTACCAAAAATCGTGTATACGGGAGTACACGGTTTCTGATGAGTCGCAATTTGTTATTCCCTGTTCCTGTTGCCAGTGCTTTCAATTGTGCCTCAAGCTTAGCGTTCGGAAAATTTATGAGGATTTAGGGATTATACGCGAATGTCAGTAGCGGGAGAAAATTCTCTTTAGACATTCTAATATCAATTTACGCTTCATTAGTTTTTCCATATCTGATCCAGACGGTGCTAATGACACATTATAACCTGCTACGTAATTAATTTTTTATTTACAGAGCATGTGGGAAAGGATCATGAGATCATCTCGTTAACTGCGACTGTGGCATACGATATTAATCATTATTACCCTCACTAGCGCGGTAATGTGCGCGGAATGTATAAATTTTGTATTTGTTTGTTTATTTATTGTTAGGTAGAGAGAGCGGACGTGATGGAAGTTCCGCGGCTAGACGTCACCAACTTTAGATGATCGAGACCCTGTGACTGTTTAGCCTTTAGATTTATTAGCGACGTAAAAATGACTAAAATATTATTTTGTTGATATATACATATTATATATATAGATATATGATTACTATTGATTATGAATTACGAATAATGTGTAAATATACGAGAACACCGCAATGTCGTGTTTCTCCTATAAAATTATCTCGAGAGTTGTCTCTTCCCATCCCGAGGTTTTTCCAAATAGATTTTTGCGAACGCATCTTTTGTTGAGTATCACTATACCAATCAGAAACGACGATAATTAGACTGATTATCGCTACCACTTACCTTAATTTATCGCTATTTTCCACGTTTTTCCTGATAATCGCAAAGATAATACACGTCCGATGTCTTCAGTTATTATATATCATTCTTTTAATTCGAAATATGGATATTTGATGCGCAAGTTTCTTTAAATCCAGTCGTTCTGTAAGAAAATCTCGATTTCATCATAATTCTATTAAAGTTTTATATTCGATTTCACCTAAATAAAACATAAAATTATAATAAAATCAAGATTAATAGAAATTTAATACTATCTGGTCAATTAATCACTTATTTTGAATATTAAAAATATTATGAACGATACTTGTAATACTCAAAGTAAGTGATTAATGGATTAGTATTAATATTAAATTTCTATAAGAAAAGTATAATTGATGTCATTGTGATTTTTCCTAAAATAATAGTAATCTTCCTATTGAAGTGCAAAAAAAATTATTCTTACTTGAGAGAGAGAGAGAGAGAGAGAGAGAGAGAGAGAGAGAGAGAGAGAGAGATGTAATCTTGATGTTATTATAATTTTGTGTTCTATCTAAGCGAGTTTCGATTTACCGTCAAATTTACGAAATGCAGTAAAAGTTTCATAAGAACAACCAGTTTTTCATTCCGTCATATTATTATCGAACCGACGATCTCAAACGCGAAATGGAACATGGACGATATTTTATATAAACTCGCGTGAATTCGTGTCACAAATAGTTTCATCGATCTCGAAAGCAAACACTATTATATAGTAGCGACATCCACACAGATCTGCATAAATTCACAAAAATTCACAGCAACGGAGAATTTAATTCACACTACGCGATCGTTCCATGCATTGATGATTTCCCTGGCAACAATAAAAATCAGAGCGTAAGTCGAGAGTATACGAAGAATAAAAGAAGGATAAATGAAACTTCTAGGAGGCGAAAATAAAGACATTGAAATGTAAAAGAAGCGTAAACAGCTCTTTTGCATTTCATTTGTCTCTATTTTTGTCTCCTAGAAGCTTTTTTTACGCTTTTGTCACTCTCCTCTTACATTCGACTTACATTCCGATTTTTATTTTCGCCAGAGTTTACTTGGAATCGGAGCGGGTTCGAATTCGAATGAAAAACTATTATGACAATAAGACAATCGTTATGTCGGTGAATCATCAATCAAGCGAAAGCGAGACATCGAATGCGGACGATATTTTATGAAATATTTCACGAAATTGTGCAATTAATTCATAGATATTATCGCGAACGCTACAACGAAAACTACTGCACAGTGGCAACTAAACTCTGTAGGAAAATAAACTTAACTATACGGTAATTTTATTGATAATTTCACTCAATAAACTTCGTTAGTATCGGATTTTACAGAAAATGAACTTTATCAAAAAGACGCTCTTGCTGTTCTATTTTCGGTAAGTCTCTTTCTTCCCTTACAGAAATTTAATACAGGCCAATTTATTACGTTGAAAGATAGTAATTAATTACTATTTTGAAGTACTAAAAGCGTTGAACAACAGTGCTTTTAATATACTTTTAATAACTTTTAATATGTAAATAATTATAATTACCGTTTTCTTACTATTAAATTGATCAATAATTAGATGTCTGTAAAAGTTTCAGATCTATCGTATTCTTGTAATCCTACATATTAATATTAAATTCAGTTCAAGAACGCTTACATTCAGTTCGAAGGAATTCTTGATAAAAACTGCACACTTCAGAATAAATAGAGATCGGAAATCGAATCGAACATATGCCTATCGATTGTTCCTTTATAATTTCGTCGAGTATAAATCTATATAATGAATTAAATTATACATATTTAAGAATTTGAATATAAAAAATATATATTAAACATTAAAAACATTAATCAATATAAAATAAAGATAAAAATTTCATTCGAGAATTTTCAAAACGATCAAAACAATCTCATTCCAACTGTTGTGGAATTTGCGTAAATTTCAAGTAACAAGATCAATTTCGCTCCAGTTAGCAGCAGTTGATAAGTCACCCAATGAATCCTATTCATGCTGGAATGTACTCCATGGAATGTATTATTTTCAAACAGAAAAATCAGCGGGGGAGGAGGAGAGAGAGAGAGAGAGAGAGAAGGCAGTGGAAAGAGAGCGAGGGAGAGAGAACAGCATGCGCATTGAAAGCTTTGTACAATCCCCGTCAAAGTTTAATCAATTTTCGCGATCCCGATTATATTTCATCAAACACGACGTGAATTTTCTCAAAGGACTGTACCGCCCGAGAGAGAGAGAGAGAGAGAGAAGGAACGACAACCGCTCCAAGTTGTCTCTCTCGGGTGACGTTTCGCAAGCGCCAGTGAGCGCCGCGCGGTTCTAGATTGGATAGAGTTCAGTAAGGTCACCAGCCTCTCGCCGGTACGCGGGTTTGTGTTTCTACGTGCTCTTGCGTTTCTCCAAGAGCTTTTTTTCGTGAAGAGATCGCGCTCGCTCTCTCATTTTTCTCCCTCTTTCTCTGTCTCTCTCTCTCTCTTTCTCGCCACGTCGATCCATCGCGAACAGTCGGCGATAGTTCGCTCGCTCCGCTGCCATTTCCGACGCGAATCCGAGCTGTCGTCATCATCCGTTTCCCACGGATCATCACGAACGCGGGGACGCAGTCGGCCGACGTCAGCCGCTGATACGTTCGCGCACAAGTTCGTTCCGCAGCTCCGAAGAACCGACTCCTTCTCGAGCGGTAGTGCGAGGTATGTACGTAGGATCTTATCTTGCCGCAACTTCCCCCCTCGCGTCTTCGCGCAGCAGCGCGTCTCGTCCCGTCGACGCCGGTTACCTCGGAGGTTAGGCGTTCGCGCGCGCATCTGCTCTCCGCGATGGCTGCGATTGCGATATGTTACTTCAGTTCGCGAGATGAAATTCGCCCAGCGGGATTAATAAACGTCCGTGGCGCGTCGCGACGTTAATCCGAGATCGACCTCGACACCGCAAGTGTTACTCCGATTTGAGAAAGGAGAATCAAGTCAGGTCAGTGTCTCTGTGTCTCATTACCGCCCGATGGGACAAGCTCCGTGGGAGATTAACTCTTAAGACCTCGCTGTAGACTTTTTCTGTAGGCTTCAGGTAGGAAAGAAATCGCATTAGAGTTCGACTCCAAGGATATCCTTAACCCGCAAAATAGTGACAGAAGAATGTATAATTCATTGGCAGCCTTACAAGTAAATCCTTGGAATTTACATGTATTTTTGAGTAAATACGGAACAAAAGAAAGCTATTGTCCTTCATCGCGGAAATGGTGACAACCTGTCTGGGACATCATTTGCGCGGAAACATATGTGTTTGAGGATCTCGATGGAATTGACGCAAGAATTCTTTACAATAGTCTATTGAAACATGTTATGGATGGTCATTAAAGGGTCATGCGTAGTTATTTGATGTTGGAATGTCGTTGCGCGATAATTATTGCATTCGCAATTGTTCGCAATTGCACGGAGGCGGAGCTGGGAAGAAGGGCAAAGAATCCATATACGGCTAACTTCATGCGAAAATGAGAAATAACATTTGCATTTACATGAAATTAAGCGGTAAATTATGTCTTGCATAATACACGGCGTTTCCTAACCTCACAACGCTCGGTCGATGATGTAGGAATTCTTCTTGTCGACGAGAATTACCCTCGGAATTATTATATATCGCTTATTTATTACAAGAACAATTAAAAAAAAAACGTTTCCCAAAAATAAGTTTGATTGATATTTTGAATTAAAATTTTGTAATATTAATTTTGATGTAAGAACTGAACGATCGTTTAAGAGAATAGAAGTATGTATAATACTTTTAAAATGTTTTGTTCTTTTTTTTATGTTTGTGTTCCTTTTTTATAAGGAATTACTAATAATTTTTATGTTATATTATGGTAAATGAGCGATATTGTATAATAATATTCTAATAATAATGTATATACATTAAAAATATGTACTATAATAATATAAATATATAATAATAATACCAATATATGTGATAATTAGATATGTGTAAGAACAAAAATATTTTAATCTCATTTTAAGTATGTATATTTTGTAAATAATAATTTTAAAATATTTATTTTGTTTTGTTATTCTAGGAACAAATCGGAGGAAGAGGAACAAAAAAGAGGAAGAGGAAGTTGTGAAGAATATAAAAAGATATTTTCCGCGCAAGAGAGAAAGAGAAAGAGAGAGATGGCCAAGAAGACTCGGATGGTAACAATGTATCTTCCAAAATATTAAAAGGTCACCGTTCATCATTGAAATTAAAATGTTGGATTCTGAGAGAAATTGATTTTTGAGATATTTAATAACAATGGCAGAAAATATAGATGAAAATACTAATAAATCAGCGGAAAACAGCATGTCGGAAATTTCCGCAGCAGACGACAGAATAGTTTCCTCTGATAAGGAAAATCATGAACAAATGAACATCAACGAACCATCTACTTCTAAAGAAGCCTTAGACGCTACTGTTGAAAAGGAGAAAATCGAAGATATGGATTTACATAGTTCCGAACAGCAACCAAATACTTCTAAAACCGATTGTAATGGGGATTTGAAGGAGGAAACTAATCTCGAGAAGATCGAATCCGAGACTACCAAATCTGAGATTAATAAACCTTCTGAGACTAACAAATCTGAGACCAAAGAGAGCAATGAACCTAGTTCTGCAGAAGCAAAGATGGACGACACCATTTATGCTACCACCCTACAGAGTAGCCTAAATGAGATCATAAAAGTTGTTCATGGAGATTTGGCGATGGAGATACTCCGATGCGCTAACGATACTACGGAAGACAATGACGAAGAGAATAATGAAAAAGATCAACAAACGGTAAGGAAGGAAGATGACGTTTCGAAAGATGATACGGCTGACAGTGTGAAGGAATGTCCTACTTCCCCGGCCGCAGAGGACAAAAATGACTCAAGAGAGTCCTTGAACAAAACGGAAGAGAAATCAAACATTGGAATTGTTCATTCTCCGACCGCGTTTGGCGAACTTATTGAAGAACAGCTTGCTAGCGATTCTGCATTATCGACTGATCGCGCGGACCACATAGTAGAATGGGTCAAAAACTCGGTAGTAAACGCCAACAAAGAGGATAACATTCTCGAAAAAACTAAATTTAAGATATACGAAGAGAACACGACGTACGAGGCAGAGAAACGAAAGATGACTAGTGTCACTCCACCTTTCATATCGGCCAAAAAATCGTTGAAGATAGTTAGCAACATTATAAAGAAGAGTATTAAATGGTGAGTACCATATGTTTAATTAATTACTGATTACTAACCGCGTTAGCCAAAATCGAGAATGAGAGAGTAGAAGGTAACGAAATATTTCTCTATTAAAACATATCATCTAAATAATTATTGTACTTCCAATCGTCCTTATCTCTCAAGCTAAATAAAAGTTAAATAATTGTTCTAAATCTCTCGTAAAAAAGTACGTTTCTTAATAAAATCGCAACACTATAAAGAGGTATCATATACATATATATATATTTTCTTAATATTATCTGCATGATAGAACTCCTAAAAATTCAGAAGAATTCGATTATAAACGATTTTTTAAATTTATGTCTTGATGTCGATTTCTTCTTTTCGAAACATAATGAGAATTCCACGCAATTTTGATACCATCGGGATCACATTAATAATCAGCTGCGCAATAATTCTGTACATCAGAAGATATTTCTGCAATATAGCGAATGATACTTTTTTCCCTTGTAATCACTGTTTGATGGTGGCCGAGATATTAGCATTATCGGCTGATAAAGCCGGGATAAGTGGCGAGCCTACTAACGGACGCGCAAACGCACGCTAACTACGTCGAGAATCGGGGTAGAGAAAGAGAGGTGAGGTGAAGACGCTGCAGAAAAAAAGAAGCCGGAGGGAGCGAAATATTGACCGTGGAACGATAAGCAAACGGTGGTGTCGATAACGGGATGACTATTTCTGCAACGCGTCCTCTCCTTCAACCTCCGTTTATCTATAAGATAGTGTGCGTGCGTGGTATATCCATTTTCCGTATTTCTGTCACAAATATCTCACCTTTTTCCACGTTCTTGTGTGTCTTCTATTTATCATCTAAACCACATTAAAAGGAAATTGATCAGTTAAATATATACTATACGTTTTTCGTGACGAATAAGGTTCATTCATTTTCTTTTGAAAGTTTTGAAGATTATTTGGAAGTACAAGCGTCTTTAAAATCATGTTACGCCTCTTATTTTAATGGAACTGTTTCTGTCTTATCTTTCATTGTGTTTTAAATTTAAAATTGTGTATTATAATTTGAAAAATTTAATTATATCGGAAATTATATTATAAATTTGTGGAAAATCACTCTATCTTTCGAAGAAAAACTTTCTATCATCTGTATTTATATGTGATAAACGAATGTTGTTGAAAAAATCTCTTACCAAGAAATTTTCGACAACACTAATAAAAGTATTATAATTGCGTTTTTAGTTACAATCATATTTTTTACAATCATTAGTACAATTATTTTTTTTACTATTTTACTTAATAATAATATACTTCAAAAAGATATCATCCATTTTGTATTTTTTTTGTTTTTCCGCTATTTTATTATGACTTATAATTAATAAAAAGCAAATTTTAAAAAGAAAATTACAATCATTCTCTTGAAACAAAAGAATGATAATTCTGCTGTAAATAATACTTTTTATTAGTACCGTTGAGTTATCTGTTGGAGAACATCTATTTTTGAACACAAATCGTGAAATGTGTTTTTCTCCTAAAAAAATATATACTTAGTGCCTACAGAAGATATCATTCGAAGACAGGAAAATAAATAATTTTGTCAGTTACCGTTAGTCACGTTATCAATGCTTCGATGACACGAAGGTTAAACGACAATATGCTGTTGATGACGCCAGGCGTAACCTCGCAGTTGAGCAGTACTGCATCTATGAAGATGTTATCACTATCAAAACGTTACCTCGATGTTTGCGTTTACGCATCGATACATTGACAAAAAATATAGCATCGCGCCTGAGTCAATTAAAAGCTCGTGCGTACGCAATAAACGATTTCCTGGATTAAATTTATCTGGTCTCTTCTATAATTATACACTTTTGTTATTACATACATGTATCCACAATAATAAGTAGAAATTAAACATTTCTATCATACCAGAAACTTGATAGAATGAATGAAAATAAAAATTGAAAATAATTTTAGATTTTTATTAGTGTCTATTTTCGATTCTTAAAGTTATAAATTTAATGTTTTACAAAAGCATCTCTTTATAAAAGTAAGATTCTACTTCATGCTCTAAAGTGTCATATATTGTATCTTTTTCACATAGACATTTTATAGATCAGTTGTGTAATTTCTACTTCGAGGAAAACTCAACGGAGTTCTCTACCTATAAATTTTGTTCTTTTTCTTAGTATACATTATTTTAGAAAGTTTGAAAAAAGTAAAATCCCCTTCGTTCAACAAATACTTTATCATGTCTTTCAATGTTCAAATCCTCTCGCAAGCAATATTTCGTAATCAATGGCGCACAGTTTAACATTCAGATGAATATGCCGAATCTCTTGTTTTATGCGAAGAATTCGGATTTAAGTTTCCACAAAACAATTTGAATCTGCTAAAGCAATAGTACAAAAGCGATAAAACATTCCGATTATTTTATGACTGTGTATCACATGCTTGGTTCATGATTATGCCAATTGACACTGGGTTGTCCGAGGGGCTGTCTTATAATTTAGTTTAGCGGAGTCATTTTCTTATATATCAATATAGAAGACAACAATTCATGACACCATGATGCGTTACTTTCAATAGGATTTTTTCTTTTACGTCTTTATGCGGTTTTGTTATTTTTCATTATTACTGCTGACTAGACAGTTTTTTTTTTCATAAACATACAAATATTGTTTATTAGGATTTATTAGAATTATTATCTATTGACTGTTTCCTAAATATATATTTGAAATTAAATAAAGTGGCTTTTCTTCGGTATCTAGATATGTACATATTGTGTCGTTACTATCGATAAAATTTTACGTTGTCTTTTATTGTTTTGTAAACATTTTACTTTACTATTTCGCAGTGATTCATTGATTGGAATTTCGAAAGGTTTATGAAGTTACTTAGAAAGGATCGTTTTATCTAAAGTACACATTTCTATATTTATATATAAAACGCATTCTTCTGATATAAAAACTGGTTTTTTTTAATATGCTTGCTATCTTCTTCTTGCTTCTCTTTCTTATCATATTAAAAACGTATAAAATTTTTATATTGATAATTTTGTATTAGCTTTATGGGTAACTGAGTACTGTTATCCAAGGTAGTTTCTAGAAGAGTCACCATACGCGATTTATTTTTTGATCGATGAATCGACAAGCGTTTTTCCGAGTGCCTCTCGGAGTGCCACGCAGCCGAGACTTGAGATAATTATAATACGCGATCGACCAATATGTATGTGCGCGCGCGTGTTTCACGGAGAAGGCTATCCAGTTTCCATGGTCCCAAGCCAAGGCTGGTCTTACAGTCTCACCCCGCAGTGGCGGCGGCGACGGGAGCAGCAGCAATAGCAACAGCAGTCGCCGCCGCCGCCAGATGAAAGTGGAGCTGCTGCGACGACGCAAGAGGGGCGTTAATCCCCACGAACGGTACCATAGAAACGGTACCGCTAGGGTCGTTACGTGCAGTCACCGCGTGCCGGAGACCAACCACTCCGGTACCGATTCGAAGGGCTCGATCTATCCAGCCCTTCGATTTCACGGTCCTATTCCCTATGCACGTCTTTCTATTTCTGCATTCGTCGATATTTAATTTTGTCTCATGAACGTTTCTCAACAGCAGCATCACACGCTTCATTGATGAGTAAAGTATTTCACTAAGTTAACTTGAGCTTGAGAGATCTTAGTTTAATGACAGATTAAAAATGCACATCTACTACAGGGTGTTTCAGACCTATCACCTGTTAATGGCAGATTCCTCAAGTTATTTTGAGACTAAAATTCTGATACAAAAATGTCGAGGCTATAATAGTTTTTGAATTATAATCGTTTAAAGCTAAAAAATTGTACCATCTAAAACTTGCGCGTTCAGGCACAACGCAAAGCGCTAAAAGTAAAAGCTAATAGTTGTTTTTTGTTAATATCGATATAAATATTACGTAGGCGAAAATAAAATTATTGATATTTCTATTTCTTGATATTTATTATGTTAAAAAAAGTATTTTGCCTGTGGACATTATGGTATATAAGAGAAGAATGGAATCCACAACGAATCCAACGACTCAACAATGTTCTTACTTTGGCTGCGTTTCTCGCTCAAATCCATATTTGACGGAACTTGCGGCGGCCGGTCGACCATCCAAAGACCTTGAAGAAAAAGGAAAAGTCTTTGTTCACAAGTTCTTCGACAAGGAACCACAGCCACATGTCGGTGATGGGAATGATGACTGTGTGTTTTCGTATAGCGTGCGTCACCCTTTCACATGAACGCACGCACAGCCGTATGCTTCTCTTTGTGTGTGAACGTTTACAAGGGTGTGCGTAATGGTACCACTATGGCGGAATTCGGGGAGGTAGACTTCTGCCTCGGACTCTTTTCTCCTACTACGAGAAAAGTGTTTCTAACACTTTCAAGGTCATTTGACCTTGCATTTTTCGATCGTGGCAGTTTGCCCGCAGACTCGAATCGCTTTGTATGAAACTAACCAAAAATCGACTCCGCATAAAACAAATTTAAGAAATGTATTTATCCGAATGTTAAAAATTGTGTACCATTGTTTACGAAATATTGTCTGCGTGAGGATTTGAACATTGAAAGATTATATTATAAAGTATTTGTTGAACGAAGTTTAACTTTTTATTTTTACTTTTCTCAATATTTATAAATTAAACGCATGGATATAAGAAAAAAAAAGCGCTCCATTTACCGTACCGATTCCTAACTTTTTTTTATTGTTATATTTATTGTTTGAAATTAGTAGGAATTCTTTTTAGTATTATTTAAATTAATAAGAGTTTCAGTGTCGAATTTGACATTTTTATTTCACTTTTATTATTACAAAATTTATAGGTAGAATATTTTGTTGAATTTTCCGAAATAGAAACTTCACTTTTGAGTATAGAAATATTACCTATGTATGCAAAATTGAAAGAAATAATATATGATTTTAAAGTATAAAATAGAACCTGTCTTGCTTTTGTAAAGCATTGAATTTATCTGTAAGAATCGAAAATGGAAAATAGTTAAAAGTT